AAATGACAAACGAAACAAAACAAAAAAAAAACAACAGAAAATGTTTTAATTGTGAGTGAGAACCAAAATAAATACATATAAAGTCAGATCGATTTAGATGTGACTGATTGACTGCGAGATACTCTCTGCTTTTAATTGTCATTCATACATTTTTTGTTTACTTATTATTATCCACATTACACACAAAGTAAATAGTATAAATCAACTTATTCAGTTATCAAACAAAATTGTTGTTAATTTGTATAGATAACCTTACCGTCTCCTTCTTTGGTATTCTTACAGGGTATTCTAGATAAACAAAAACAAAAACATCAACAGCAAAAGTTCTGAAGTGTAATTAATTTTTGTAGACCTTCCTTTTAAGCGTTCCCTTTCGCTGTTCGGTTTTTGGCTTTTAGTAATCTGTTTTAAATTTGCTAGTTTGTTTTTTTTTTTAGAGTTCTCAATTAATTGGGTGCGCAATAAATTACGCGAGCTGTTGCAGTAGGATATATTTATTTATACTCTCCCTTTTTTTCTTTCTGTTTTTGCTTTAACAAACACATAGCAGGTTGATGAATGGACACAATTTATTACCTAACAGTTATTTATGCCCAACAATTGTAGTAAATACAACAACGAATATTCAACTAAAGATTTTAAAAGACAGATAATTGTATCAGATTAATGGGATATTTAGTGTATTTTATGGTTTGACCTGTATATATTATGTGTATAATCTGATTGCTCATTGCTGCTGATAACAATGTATTTGCAATAATGATAAAAATAATCAGTATGCATACAATGCACAAAGCCGTCGTTTTCAGTCCAGCAAAGAGCTGAATATGAAAAGAATTGTAATAATAATTCGCTTGTGGCTGCACCAAGTCAAGCAGACGTCAACGTAAATATTTTTGATAGCCAACTGAGCAGACAAGAAATGTAAAAGAACAACGAATGGAGAATGTCATTAAATGCTTGACTGGTTGGTGGACTGGTTGGCTCCGTTGGTTGGCAGACTAAAAAACGCTTTGCATCCGCTCGAGGTGGCTGCAACATGTTTTCTTTTACCCATTGGCTTTTTCTATAATAGGGCGCGCCAGACAGGCATAACAAGCAAAAGGCACCCACAGCAGCAACAGCAACAGCAACATCATCTGACATACAGCTTTTCATTTCGACTCTGTGCATCTGCATAACACACAGCACTCTCTCTCTCTCTATCTCTATCACTATCTCTGTTTCTTTGTCTGGTTGTCTATCTGGTATGAATTTGTCTGACGGCTGCACTTCCTTCTTTTATGTCAGTTTCGAACCGGAAATTTTAAGCACGGAAATCATGCGCAAGCGTCAACGAAAACAACAACAGCAACAACTACATCAACTACATCTGCTTTGACATGTTTGTTAGTGTTTGTATTTTTTTTTTTTTCTTTTTTGACATTGTTTTGCGCAGCGCACACTTAACGAGTATTCGCACTGTCATGCTGGGAGCTTAAAGCCGCTGGCCAAACAAAAGCAGCAAAAGTTGCCGAAAATCCCCCTTTTATCAGGCACATCCGGGTTAAGTCTTCACATGCGCCACCTTAGCGATGTCGACACATGCAACATGCGACACAAGCGCATGCCACACGCCACACGCCACATGCCTTTTAATTAGCAATCTCGCTTCACAGTTTCTACTTTGTCTTATTCCCCAATCAGGCTGAAAATGCTTAAAGACTTGCATTAAGATCGGATAAGAAACAACAAAGTTGTATTTATTGAAAATTCTATTAACTAATATTAAAAGTGCAAGAATTAATCAAACATTTCGTAACTAAATCTCCAATTATTTTGAAACTATGTCAGCAAGTAGTCACGCTGTGTGTGGCATGATGGTCTTTAACGCGCTGCTTTTAAGACTTTAAGGATAACAGCTCGGCATCGACATCCTTGAGGCAGCAGCTGTTGCAAGTTAATTTGCTTGGCATGCCATTTGCCACAGGCTTGCTTTCTGTTTTGTGTGGTCTGTTGCAACATGCTACATGCAAATGGCGGCTGCTGCAACCGTCTGTGCTTGCCTCTTGCGTGTTCTCAAGAAATGAAGGCGGCTGCGAGAACTTCCGGCGAATTGCGTTTTGACTATTGCATAATCAAATGAATTGCAGCGCTGTTGTTGCCATAATGCCACTTTAAAATGTATAATTGCCACAGAGTAAGCACAACGCTGATTACGCGAGGATTTCGAGCTGAGCTACAGAATAAGAGAAAAAGACCCCGCCCCGTAATATGCTTTGCGTGAGATGCATAACATCAATTTGGTTATCGCATGGCTTAAAAACGTTCATTAGAAAAGGTTTAGCAAGCCACTTTTTTTCGCTATACGAACAAGCACAGCGCAAAAAACGCAAAACGATAAGAAAGAGTGGGTGAAGTGGGCGTATACTTAATGCAATGGATGCAGTTTATCGAGTTTTTCAATCTGCGTCATTCTCGCACTCGCTTTTAAATTTGTTTAAGACAATAATATATCAAATACCGGACAATAATTCAGATGTCTACAAGGGTATTTAAGTATTTATAATACTTATATAAGAGTTGAACTTTAGCGTTGTAAACGATATCTGATTTCTAAATCATCTGTTCATCTGTTCGTCTAGACTTTTAAGTGTGGCATTCGCCATAATTCACACACACACACACACACATAAAGACTTCTCTTACTCACAGATATCCCACACAGCTGTGCTCTATTTTTATATGTCTTTCAGTATCTGATTCAGTTAATGCTCGCAGCCGCAATTGTAGCCCTTTTATGTATTTTTCTTGTTGTTTTTTTTCCAGATAGGCAATTTTTGTTCTGATTCACGTATTTTTCGACACGTATTTGATTGAAATTCTATTTGATTATTGTGGCTGATGATGTTCGATATGAGAGAAGCTGACCTGAACTTTGCCCTTTACCCTTGTAACTCATCGTCTCTCACACCGCCTAGCTCATTTCAGTTCTATTTTTATATGTTTACTATGCCCAAGTTGTCGCATCTTGAAAGTTACTTGTCATGCTTACTGTGACAGCTTGTGTGAGAGTCTCTGCACTTTATTGTAGGTGTCACTGTATGCCATTCCTTGGCCTTAGAGACACATCAAGAAGTAGTCTTACTGTGACCTATGCTGTGTTTACCCAGTTGCAGCAGAGTTCATGCCCAAATCTATTGATTTAAATTCAATTTGGTAACAGGGTTGCAAAGGTCAGAGTGGGATTTAGAATGGAATGTTCTAATAATCTATATCGAGACTTGGTTTCAATTCAACTATGTAACCTGAAAGTACAGGCTGAGTAGGTATTAATAAGGACATTTTTTATTGTAGTAACCATGTAGTTACAATAAATTATTGCCAGATTATTACTTTTTCCTTTGACTGTCCAATGATTATATTTATTACAAAATAACTTTTACTTGCGTTCCAATTTGAAACAAAAAGAACTCCCCACTTCTTCATGAACCTTCCCCATCATAACATCCTTGTACATTTTGCCTTCTTTTGCAGATATTTTATTCAGTGTGTCTCGTATTGTAATTCTCATCATTTTATTGCTCAGCAGCTTTCGTATGTAAATGCATTCGTTGTTGTACGTGCAGCTGAGTGTGATTATTTTAATATCCATTAGTTGAGCATGTGTATTTCTATCTGCGTTGTCCTGGCTGTGACTGGACTGGAAATCATGCAATATTTTGAAGAAAATGTTTTAAAGACAACTAAAAACAGTCTCACAAAGATAGGGGCATATCTTGTTTGTAGCTTCATGTTAAATAGTTAACTAAAACGTCTTCAAAGTCATCACGTGTCCATCAACTTTCAATATTTGCTTTGGTCAGTGTACAAATTATATATTAATTATTCAGTTATCAGTTGTGCATAATTGTTTGTTTGCCAGAATACAATTGCAATTGGGCACCTCTTTGTCGTCGCAGGCGTTTAAAAATTAAACATACTTGGCACTTGCCAGTGTTTAAGCTAAGACAATTGTGTGTTGCCGTTTCTGCTTGTGTGTCTGTGTGGTTGTGGCTGGTGGTGGTAGTGAATCTGGAGGTGGAGGTGGAGGTCATGCCTGTGGCCAAGTGTCGCCAAGTCTAATTGGCCGCATAATTGTGGCCGACATTTGGCTTTGACTGGCTGGCTGACTGGCTGGCAGTCAAGCAATTAAAATTCCTTTGGCACAATTCAGGCGCTGGATCCAATGGCACCCGTATCACATGACCAGCAGACGGCCTGGATACTTTCATGCGCATTGTATCTGCTTTAAGTTCAATTCTTTTCTTCTATTTAGGCAGCAGCTGCTGGCCATTTACAGTTTGAATCACATTTTGGCTGCGAATTTGTATTTTTTTTTTATTTACTTTGTATGTGTGTGCAGCTGTGTGTGTGTGTGTGAGCGTTGCAATCGAGTAGTGGTTCATGCCACATGTGGCATGTGGCTTGCGTCTGCTGCATTGTCGTCATAATTAGCTGCATTGATTTGGCTGCCCCATTGAAAATGCTGCTTGCATTGTCCCGGCAATTCCATTGCTGCACCGAAGCGACTTACTAATTAATTGACTGGCTTTATGGGAATGACACAATGAAGCCGTTTGCATTTAGTGCATGTGTTCAATTTTCTGATAATTGAATAAAACTGAATGATGAGGAAATGTTTAATATTTACCAGATATTTGATTTCGATTTGCTTTTCTTTTATGAATTCAGAGGCATTTAGTTGCATTCATTAAATACACAGTCTAATATTTATTCGTACATCAAGCGTATTTCTGAAGCTTTTTGGAAAGATTATAAAATTACCGTTAAAATCAATTAATATCAATTAAACACAGTTGAAAATGAATATTTGAGAAATGCAGTTGCAGGAAGACCTGCTAATTGAAGTAAATATGAATTTGCTTTCTTGATTGATATGAATCCATAAATATGCATAGTTGTAAATTGATTAAATTATAAACCAAATAAATAATGATATTTTCTATTTCATTTTGCAGTTGCAACAATTTGTGGAATTTGACAACATTCGCATGCAGTTTTAATGATGGTAAGTGACCAACTTGGTTAAGCAAAAGTCCGAAATATGTATTCATATTCATGACCCTGCCCTGCCTGTCCAAATAGCTGCCGCCTGTCTTTCTATCCCTTATCCCGTGTCGCTGTCAGTTGGCTAATTAATTCCATGACCAATTGACGTGAGTCAATTAGTGGGTGCGGTCCACAAGCTCACGTTACATTCAACAGCCAACATTTCTGAAAGTCAATTAATGCGCAACAACTTAGATATGTATAGTTGGGGAGAAACTTTGATTATTGTTTGTTTGTATAACTTGTACTAATAATAAAATAAATTTATGTAAGTCAAACACAATATTTGTCTTGGCTGACTGAAGCGTTAAATAATTAAGAATACTCGATTACGTAAATCTTGGAATATGAGCAGACATAAATGATTATGCGTATAGAAACTGTGCATGTGAATTGATTCTTGGTTTTAAAGGGCTCTTTGTATTGTTGAGGGTATTTTAATTGTTGCAATAAGATTTGCAATGCATCCACAGCTTTTACTCTTATATGTTATGAAACTTATCGAAACTTGTTTTTGCTGAAAGTTTTCAGAGGCGCTTGAACACACGTCAATATATTTTATAAATTTTATAATTCGATTCTCTATTAAATAAGCTTCTCTTCCCTTTATTCTACATAGTAGTGGATAAATCCATGCATAAGAGAAACAGCTGCAGTCAAATTCCTTAACGTTTGATTTGTGAGTTGAACTTGCCTCGGGTACATTTTTGTTGTTGGCTTTAGCAGTTTAAAGTTTGATTGATTTACAACTCAAATCAATTGCAAATGCTTTTGAGCTAAAAAGTTGTTGGCCCGGAAATTGTGTGGTAGAAGTTTACGCGTCTCCCTATACAACTAAGTTTGACATATTAGCGGATGGCATTAATATTCGTTTCCTTGTCGGTCGTCAAAGCCAGTTGCTTGTCTTCTTTTTTGGGCTGGGCTTCTTCTTATTCCTCTTGACTTGGTTGTCTTAAATGGCGTTAAATGAATGTTCACAATGTGCGCTGAAAGCGATTAATTTGAGAATATGTGTGGGGGGCAGAGTGCGAGCGAGGCGCATTTAGGCGTGGCAACAGCCAACTGGCAGCAAATGTCTTTTCTTGTTGCCTAGCTGTGGCATGGGGGCCGTCTGAAAGCAGCAATTTATCTCTGGCATTTTGCTGCTGCTCCTGTTGCGGCTTGTGTTGCCTGCCACACACATACACATACACAGTTTTTTCTCTCTCTTCTTTGGCTTCTGTGGCTGCTATTTTCCTTTTTTTCTGGCAAATTATGCTAGTCGCGCATTTTTGTGTTGCATACTTTCGTGCGCTTGCTTTTCCCTCGCGCACAGAAGAAGTGAAGCGCATACCAAAAATTAATATACTGACATACCACCAATGGCATGTGGAGCAACTTTGAGGTTTTCGCTCAGCATCCTTTGCCATTGTAATGAAGTCAAAATTAACGCATTTTTTTAACCGACTGAGTAAACTGGTGGCAGCTTGGCAGCAATCTACATTCCCTATTTGGTGAATCTAGCTAGAAAAATGTTATTAAACATAATACATAAGTCTTACTTAGAAGAGTTTTATTCATACAGAAATATGTTTTTCCAAAGATATAAGCTTACAACCAAATTGTGTAATTCTGTGAACAAATACTTGATTAACTGATTAATTTAAAATATATGATACATTTGTGTAAATATATTGCTTAAACTCAAATAATAATTAGATATAAATGTGTTATTTGCATTGCATTTACGGTCTATAAATGTAATCGAATAAAATTCGAAGCAAGGGTGAAATATGTTTGTGTGTATTTTGAAGCGCCTTTATATTACAACCTGTACTTTAATCAATTTAATGTATATAGCCGCTGGGTTCAGGTCGAGCATGTTTATTATAGTATTGTATAGTCCTTTAGTCCATTATAATGTGCTTCATTAGTTCATGTATTAAGTGCCTTAAATATCCCATTGCTGCAGACAATTATTTCTTTTAATGACCTGGCACTGTTCTACTAATTATTTTTAAATTCAATACAAAAGCTAATATGCATTTACCTATCCGATGGGAATAATTGGGCACACTGTCATTGCTGTCTGCCACTCTGGAGGGTTGTTGCCGTGCTGGACTGTTTTGCAGAATTTTTGTTTTCCAAATCATTTTATATCATGAGGAATATATTCACCCACAACCCCAACCACACCCGCGCACCAGTGCATTCTCAGTTGCATCGCTTACATTTCTGGGTGCATTTTGGAAATTTTCGATTAATTGGCCACAAATTGGGTGCGCATTGTTGCAAGCTAATTTGATTTGCGTCCGTAACTGTGCAGCATAGCGCATTAAATTGAATCAGAAGCAACGTGGTTAAACATGATTGATTATGATGCCGATTCGCGGTACATTGAAAATCATTTACTCGGTAATCGAAGCATAAAACCCATTGTTAAAAATGTTGAAAAGACTGCCTCCAGCATTTGATTAACCGTTTCTTTCGATTGAGTCAACTGACGGATTGATTTATTGTCGCCATGGCATTGATGCCACTTTAAACAACATTTACAACATCTGTTTGCACTTACCGAATAGTCAACAATTCAATTATATATACAGTTATTTTTATTTTTAAAGACTGCTCTCTATTTTGGGCAACAAATTTAATTGAATTGCCCCAAACGGATTGCTAACGATGCCATCAGATTCAGGTGGTTTGCTTTAATGAAATGCACGTGGCAAATTCCAAATCCGATTTGCCATTTTAAGCAACAGAAATTGTATAAATTTCAGTACTGGAGAAATTGCAATAAATCAAACAAAAGTTAAAATGCAAATCAGACATCAGTGGTGCATACGAAATTGAATACCGAAATGGATCAAACACTGAATTTCAGCTTTATTGCTTCTCTAAAACCAATCAAAATAGTTCAACCGGGTACAAAAGGTATCCAAATAAACACAAGGTGCGCGAATACCAAAACCCAGTTGATCTAATCAAAGATGGGATACTGGTTTCAACCAAGAACTTAAACAAGAACTTGAAACATTATTTCGGGGTTGTAGTATTGATTTTGTAAATCAATGTACCTCTAAGGATGTAACTGAAGGATATTATTATCTTGTGACGATATATGAAAGGATGACATCTTTGACTTTGCAAACTTTATATATATGTATGTTAAGAAAACAAGTACATTTTTAAACTTTGAACTCACCGATAATAGCTAAAAAATTGAGCAGATCAATTAGCTCAGTAATCTTTATTCGATAATCGAGCTTAGTTTTGCATCTCAGATGAGATAATAATTAAGTGATTAAAGTTTATTCAATATATCTTCTAGCGATGCCTGCTGCACCGGTTGAGTTCTATTTTAAAACTCAGCTGGGACTACTTGAAAGAAAATACATATTTCAAGTGGTCCCAGCTGAGTTTTATGTTTTTTACATGTGATAATTTATTGTCCAGAAGCGGCTGAAAAATGTGTTCACTCTTGAGTATTCTGTCAAGGACCAAGCAGGCAGTCGTGGTTTGATTTCTTGAAAATATTTATGGTTTCAAAATTGTTTGACAATATTATTTAGGACTCAAATTCACTGTACTTCAAGTGGAATTATCAGATTATCAGGTCCTGTGTGTATAAGAATTGTAAGACTAGCACTCTCTGAGTAAAAATATTATTAATAATATGTTTTCTTTATACTTAAAAACACATAGCTAATTTCTAGCAATTTTTTCATTTCTGGCATTTATTTTAGGCTATGCTCAAGATGCTGTTGTCGTTGCCGTCAGCCACGGCTGAGCTGTGTGTAGGCTCCACTTCTTGCCACATTGTGTGCCAATATGCGGCCCCCAATGCCAATGCAGTCGACTGCATTGCAGCCGAATGATGCATTTCAGCAGGAGCACGTTCATGTCCACGCAACGCCAGCAGGACCACAGCCACAGGCCATACAGCATTCTCACTCGCATTATCCCCATCAAGGATTAGAGTTGCATGCGCAGCAACAGCAGCAGCTCCAACATCAGCACCTGAATCAGGAGCTGCTAACAACGCACAAGGCCAAACTGCCGCCGCTCGAGCTGCTCGTGGAGCACAAGCTCAGCTACAGCTCGGCAGCCACATATCATCAACAACAACAACAGCAACAGCAGCAACAAAAGCAACAACAAAAACAACAGCAACAACAGACACAGGCGATCCTTAAGGATACCAGACGGCATTCAAACGATCTCAGACATTCCTTGAGCAGCCCATCGTCCAGTGACGATTGCTTGAGTGCTGCACGTGCCTCCATCTTTGATGACGCCGCCGAGAATTTCATCATTAACTTTCCAGCGGAATCATCGCTGCAGCTGCAGCCACTGTCGGAGACGGTGCCACTGCTGACGCACATCGAGGCCACTGTTGTCGACAAGCAGCGTTCCATACGCCTCGACAAGAACAGTGCCTCGCTCATCTTTACCAAAAAGGAGCTCAGCCCCAATAGCAACAAGAGCGCCGCCCATCCGTCGCAGCAGCAACAGCAGCGACGTCAGCATCACAGCCTTTACGGTGCCGGCGAACGGCAGCGTAAACAGACAAAACATTTGCCGGCTACGCAGCGCGGACAGCAGCATCGACGCAGTCTACCGCTTAGCTACAACAACAACAACAACAACAATAACAATCTGGTGACCACACCTGCATGCAATAGCGCCGGCACGGCTGGCCCCAATTGTGTCACAAAGCATCACACACGCAGCCACAACCACAACCACACCCACAACCATACCCATACCCACACGCACACACACAGTCACGCAGGCGTGGGGCTGACATCGCCAACGTCGAACGGCGCCGGCGCCGTTGTTTCCTACTCCTGGTACGCGCCAGTCTACAGTGCGCTCGAGGAGGAGCTGGAGCAGGATTCGAGGGTAAGTAAGGAATATGATAATAATAATGATACTAATAATGCAATACATATTTTGTAGCAGTATCATTGGATTATCTATCATGCAAATTGTGGTTTTAATTAGGTCAAAAAATAAGTATTATTTTATGATTTATTTGCTCAAAATTTAAACTCAAACTCAAACTAATATTGATGCGTATCCTTAGAATTGATTATATTTGTATATGAATTTATACTAAACAACTCAGGCCAAAATAATTACTTTCAAGATAGATATTTATCCTTAGAAACTAAAGTAGTACAAAACTAAAAAATCCTTTTCGTATTAAAATATCAATCATGCCACAGCTTCCTTTGAAAAGTCACAGTTGAGTTTTATTTACTTAGATAGATAAATAGCATAAATTACAATTTGTGGGTGGGATTGAGCGACCTTTGAAGTAGGTAATAAGTAAGCTATTTTCAAATTTCCAATCTGAGTATTAAATTTGTAATTATTTTAAATAAATACAACAATTTGTGCTTGCTTGGAAACAGCTGTCATTTGTTTTGTGTGTAAATATTGAACAGATATCGTTGAACATTATATTGCAGGATTCTTCACCAATTCACAATCTGGCCAACACAAAGCACCAGCAACGCGCAGCCAGCAGCCAGCACAGTGGCAACGCCTCGCATGCCGCGCATGCAGCGCCGCCGCAGCACGACTCGGACACAAACGAGACAGTTGCGCTGCTGGAGACGCAGACGCGCAACAAGATCAACATCATTACGCCGGGCGAGGCTGCTGGTGCTGAGCGCAAGGTGCCGTCGTCTCAGCCGCGCATCTCTCTGTCCCTACCCAATTCCCAGAACAACAATCACTCGCACTCTGCCAGCAGTTTGGGTAATGCAACTGGAACGGGAACGGGAACTGGAACGGGAACCGGGACCGGTGCTGGGGATGTGGAGAGCTCGTTGGGACTGTCGGCAGCTCAGTTGCCGCGTCGTCGACGCTTCGAAAACTTTCTCAAGTCGCTGGTGGGCCTCAAGGGCAGCAGCAGCAGCAGCAGCAGTCGGGAAAAGGAACGCGAACGCGATCGTGAGACGACAACAAATTTGCGACCCGCCTCGCCGGAGATACGGATTACGCGCACACCCTCCGAACAGGATGTGGTGCTCCGTGACCCCGCTGGCCGCCATCACGATCATCAGCAGCAGCAGCAGCTAGCCAATGGCAGCAGCAGTCGGCTGAGCATCAGCGGCTCGAGCAACTCACTGAATGTGGTGCAGCAGAAGCTGTGGCACATGATGCGACGCGAGGGCAGCGCCAGCAGCCTGCACCAGGAGAAGTCTCAATCCATTGTCCAATACACGGGCTTGCGCAAGTGCGAAACGGTGCTGGCCCTCACTCGACAGAGCCACACGCTGCATCCGATGGGTGGCGGCGAGGGAACGGCCGTTATGCTTGCCCCACACGGCGGCAGCGGCATCTTCAGTTCGGGTGGTGTTGAGCAAATACGGCCACTGAATCGACTGCGGCACAGTGTGAACAGCATCAATGGTGGTGCCGGTGGCACCTGTTCACGTTGCTCCAGTTTATTGTCATTGGCGGCGACCGGTTCGCGTTACTCGCTGGCCAACGGATTTGTGGCACGGCCAGAATCGGTGCACTCCTTGAACTATGCCGCACAAGGCAGGCGACCCAGTTTTGTCAGTTTTGTGGATGACACCGAAGAGCAGCAACAGCATCAGCACAAGGAGCCCATGCACATCAATGTCAATGCACAGATCCGACTGAGCAGTGGCTGCAACAATGCTGTTGCAGTTGCAGCTACAGCCACAAACACAACTGTTCCTTCTCCTGCACCATCTGCTCCTCCAGCACCAACTTGTGGCTCACTTAAGGGTTCCGGCAGCCTGCACAGCGCGAGCAGCACAAGTCCGCCATCGAATGTGACAACAGCCACGTTGCACTCGAACAACAACAACAACAACAACAATATCCTCGGCGGTGTTGCCATTGAGGAGCAGGTGGCAACGCCGTGCAGCGCAACTGGCATCGAACTGGGCGCCTTTGGAACAACTCACGCATATCCGCTGACTGTCAGCTCGCTGCTCTCGATGGCCAGTGCCAATCAGGCGGCCCAGGCCTGTTGTGTGCGCGATGGCATAACGTTGCAGCGACCCGATATGCTCGCCTCCGCGGAAGTGACGCCCTCGGTGGGCACACCGGCCACGCCCATCACACAGCTCAACTTTCAGCAATTCACGTGCAAGTTGTGCCTCATCGATGTGGAGAGTGGCGCGGATGCAACAACTTTGCTGCAATGCGGCTGTCAGTTTTGCACTGAGGTAAGTTGAGCGCTTCCCCCCTCACTTTACTCCCCATCATCACTACACTAAAATGTTGTTTAGATTGTTTCTTCAATTTTTTATTTGCTCGCTATGTAAAATGGGGCTGAGTGGCATTTGCTTTCGACCCCTACATATGTTTTCTTTCATCATATTAGTATGTAAGCAGCGTGCTCAGCGTGCACGAGCTGAAAATGGAAAAATTGCGTCTTGAAAGACGCAATATTTTCCCAGCAGATGCAAAGCAATCTTTATTTTCGTTTAACCCATACAGAGCAGCTCACTCACTTTATGTTAGTTGAGAGTGAAAAATAGACAAAGAAAATATATTCAACAGATTCTTACGATTTATTTCCTTTTTTTTTATAACATTGTACGTGTTTTCTACGATTTTAGTCTTGATTAATTTCCAGCAAACTTGATTTCGTTTCTTTCTTACTATATTTTGACTCGAATAAATTGTCTCCTTTATTCTATGAAACATTCTCAAAAACAATATTTCGAGTAGATAAATATTATTTAATCTAGCTCCATTGCGCGATTTACCTTTTCCTGAGTTCCTCGGCAATTACTTAGTTTTACTATGCTGCTTTAGGACTCTCTCATAGTATTTTGTGGTAGTATTCGCTTAGTTTTCTTTTAATTTCTTACAATCAAAACCCACATCATTTGTAATACATTTGCACATCCACAAATTGTATTGTAAAATTCGATTAATGGGTTAATGCAAATGAAGCAGATGTTGCAGCTTATCTTAAAGTGATTGCAGGTAAATATTTTCAACAGGCAGCTGTCTGAGGCAAGCTTTTACAGCAGCCGCCCCTATATCTGTGTGTGTGTATCTGTCTGTGGGTGTATATATGTATGTGTATGCCTGCTTTCTGGCTTAAATGTACTTTGCCTTATACAAATATGCAGCAACTATCAGCAAATTGCATTCTGGCCCTGGCTGAAGATGGCTGTCGTTCCCTTAAGTCCTTCGCAGCACGAAATTGCATGCAGCATTTTAAATAATTGAATCAGCGCTAAAAGTGAAGCCAGCAATGATTTCCACCTGCTTGCCACATGCAGCACATACATCACCGGCTGCGCAACGCTTGAATCTAATTTCAGCAGTCTAGTGCCCAGCATAATTCCTTCTTCTTATTTGCCAGCATAAATAAAACAAACTTAATTTCCACGTAAGACAGCCAAAAAAACAACAAGTACAAAATGCGAAGCATTCGAAAACAAAATATCCTTGGGGTGAATATCAAGTTTTGAATACTCTCACAAATTCAAATGGTCGTAGAATGATTCATCTTTATTTATATATGAATTAATGAAAGTAATGTGTTCTTTTTTAATATAAAATTACCAAGATATATGCTGCTGAATTTGTGGTTACTTTTCTTGATCAACTACTCCTCTTGTGTTGTCGCTGTTCCAGAATCTATATACTTTCTTATTCATGTGTCTGTTTCACACAGTTGCACATATTCATGATACTCTTTTTCCTGGTATAAATGAAAATAATATTATATCTCATGCCTGGTGCACTAAAGATGTCTAATGCCTCTTCTTGCTTTTTCTGCACTAGTTGTTTATGAGAAGGTAAAATTTACAATATACATACACACACACACACACACACACACACACACACTGACACAGATACAGACACAGACATGAAACTGTCTACAGTTGCCGCTGAAACATGTCCACTACGACTACGTGCCGCTTCCGACACGTCTGTTGACTGCTGCTCCACCGCCTCCTCCTTCCCCGCACTGCCCTCTGAATCATAGTCTGAGTAAGTCGCTGACTCCGACACTGCTGTCGGTTGACGGTGCTGGTTACGTGCCTAATGCTTACAAATGTCCCTTTAAGTCCCCTTACCCCATTCCTCCCTTAGCAAGCCACCCACCCCTGTTCCCAGGGTGTCGTTTTTCGCTGCCATTTGTCACCCTAAACTGTTGGGCATGATGTTCACTTCACAGTGCTCAGTGCTCCGTGCTCGATGCTCGATGCACAGTGCTCAATACTCCCTCCAGCCCCTTTATCTATCATCTAAAAACCGGCAGACTCCTTAAATCTACTCCCTTTTTGCAGCGCTTCAGATAAATTGCTGGCATTGCACATACGCAACGTTGGCAGCGCTTAATTAAAAATCCACACGCGCAAATTCCAATGCAAACACTGTGTCTGCATTCAGTTATTTTTGTTGTTATTTCTGTTAGTGTTGTTGTTTATTTGTTTATCTTACAGTCTGGAATTTTGTCGCGCTCCAAATAACTACGCTTGTTTATGATTCACTGAGTTGACAAATTCGTTGAGCTCCTGCCCCCAGCATCCATCGCATCCAGTCAAACCAAATACTTGTCAAAACCAAAAACAAGAAAATCGACTAGAACAGAGCAGCAGAATATGATATGAAATAACATGCCACTTTTATGCAGCATCATCATAATTCATATGCCATGTATACAGACACAGCAAATGGATAATAATAAATGCTTACCATTTACCAAGTTGGGAAGAAATTAACTTTAACTCTCTTTCTTAATGGTTTTACAACCTAACTATTAATAATTTAAATGAAAAAATGACGTTTAAGATAGTTAATCTGAAATGGAAAATAATTATTGAATTTTATACATTTTGTTGAAATCATTGCTCGACTTTATCACTTATTCTTAATCATTTTATAAATACCTTAAATGTATTTTCCAATTTGCAACGTTTTTTTTTCAAATTTATGGCTTGCAAAGATTATTTTCATTTATATGCAATTTAATTTATAGTTTCAATTTATTCATGATTGATAGCACTCATTTCCCTTATTTTGCATACACAAAATATTTAAATAAATACATTTTTTTTAAAGCCGGCAGAGTTTTGTTGAGTGCCTTTCAATTTCTTGTTTAATCATCAGGGGCCTTTAGCATCAGCTTCCTTTATACATAGCTAGTCAATTGAGTAAATGGATTCCTTTTAACTTATACCCTACCATTCCTTGTCCTGCGTTACCCTTACCTTATTTCGACTCCTTAGCTTATGCTGCAGCCAGTACCAACATTTTGTTTGGCGTGTAGAGAACAACGCCTGATGTGCTCGGCTGTGCTCGTCATCTTGTCAGGCAGCTGAGTGGGTGGTGACTGTTAGCTGGCACTGTGGCTGCTGCTCATTTCTGCTGTGTATGTGAAAAATGGCGCTGTTTATCAAATATGCTACAATGTGCGAGTACCTAATGGGAGCAATAGCAACTAAAATATGCTGAACTTTAAACTTTGCTCGGAGCAAAAATTTGTGTTTTTGCCCTCTTTTTATTTTGTATTTGTCAAGTGCCGAATCATATTCAATGCACACACGTGCACTTAACGCTCATTAGTTTGTGGGTCTGTGTAGCTTTAACAAATTATTGCATATAACATGTCGTATGCTTGATATTATGTATACGCAATAGAACGTGGCCAGAAATGTGGCGGTTGCTGCTGAAAAGCCGAGTCTCGCACAAAAGTCTCCTAAAATGACCTGAATTCATACGACACCAACAAAACAACAAACACACACTCGCACACTAGTATGGTGTTTAGTTCAAGTTGTGCAGCGTCGCCGCGTAAAGTAGGCAACTTATTGAAATTTATGCGACTCCGTCTGCTTCTTTCTTTGGAAGTGAGTGTATGTGTGTGTGTGTCTGAAGTGTATACAATGCCTTGGCTTTAAACCTTTGACACTTTGGCTTAGTGGCACACCCAAAACACACACACACATGTCACACACTCATTCCCACAATGCAGCTGACCTGCATTCAGCTAGTTGTTTAGCTGTGCTCATTTTGCAATTTGTTTGTCGGTTTGCGTTTCACTTTTCATTAAGAGCTGAAGAGCTGCAGCAATTTGTTTTCGTAAATTGAGCTGATGCCCACAAAAAAACCACAGATCCTTTGTGGGCTGAATCAAAAGTGAACAAAACAAATCCAGAGCGATAACAACACCTCAGAAATTTCATATAAACGAAAGCACTAAATGCGACATGTGGCAAATGCCCCACGTGCGATTAACATATAAATAATATGTTAAAAGCGATGAAAAGCGCATAACTGATGAGTTTAAGTCTTAAAAAAGCGAACTTAAAACAAATAAAAAATCAATTTTCGAACTTTTATTTTTATCAAATCTACTTCGGTGGTAAAATTTTGTTGACAGTTGGCTACGGACAAAGAATCACTCTGTATTTTTGATGAGTTGACTTTTTAACTGAGAGAATTTCACAGAGATATTGCCATATCAATTTAGCTCATCAGCCCCTTAAATGATTTGCAAATATATTTATGCTATGATGCCGAAGGAGTTAAAGGATTTTTTGTATGTTTTTTGCTCTCCGTTTATAAGCTGATTTTACACCAGCCGAGTGCAAAATTCTCACTTGATTAAAATCTGCGTTTGTAAAAAAAGAAGTAAAAAATTAAGAAAAAAAATAAATATATAGTCAAAGTCATAGTCAAAGTGGCGAAAAATATATTATATTTGTTCTTAAATAGTATTCTACACTGATCATATTTGAAACATAGCAAGAATCATGGTTTATGGAGCAGTTCTAGGCTCAGGAGGGGCACAATAGATCAAACTAAGTCCAATCAGATTTGATTAAATACTATTCTATTTTTTTTTTTTCAAATAACTGATAAGTTAGGCTGCTTTACTGCAACCATTTTTGGTCATTATGAGCAATTAATAACACACACAAAACTTTCGTGCAAATCGAGCTATCTAGGTTAGGTGAGTTTCTGCCTTTTTGCATTTGAATACGTAAATGTTTAGGTGGACTTCCTTCCTTCCGCTTGTGCATGCCACATGCCAGCTACCATGTACAGCTACAGATATATAGATATGTATGTGATTTGTATAATTTCGTCAGATTTGCGGACTTTACTTTAGTTAATTGTGGCCCAAATAAACTCGCAGATGGCCCGACAATTGTTTAGGCAATTGAATTAATAACAAACAAAAATACAAAAC